GAACTCATGGAGATCTGTCTGCCTCTGCCTCCCAAGTACTTAGATTAAAGGTACAGCCACCATGCTTGGCTTTATTTTTAAAGATTTATTTACTTTATGTGTATGAGTGTTTGCCTGCATGTAAGTGCACCATGTGCATATAATGCTGACAGAGGCCAGAAGAGGGCATTAGAATCCCTGGAGCTGGAATCATGGACAACTGTTAGCTACCATGTAGGGCTGAGAACCCAATCTGGGTGGTCTGGGAGAGCAGCCAGTACTTTTAACTTCTGATCCATCTTTCTACTCCCAGCCCCAGCAAGCAGCAAGTACCTTTTATCCACCTCAGTGGCTTCTTGTTTTTTTTTTCCCCTCCCAAATTAGTGCCTTTAGTCCCAGCACTCTAGAGGCAGAGGCAGGTGAATATCTGTCAGTTCAAAGCCAGTCTGTGGGGTCTCTCCCTCCCCTCATGGGTCGTTGCATTACCGGGTTTTTGTATTAGAAAGATGTATAGATAGGGGGTCTTGTCTACATCCATGTGGGCAGTTGGGGTCCATTAAGAGGGCTAAGAGCCTTTGGCTAACATCAGGGGGTAACCCTGATGAGAAAGCCTCAACTGCTTCTTCATCTTTAACGGTCCCACGCGAAGACAGACTGAAAATAAAAGGAGGAAAAAGGAGAGACTGCCCATCCTCAAGGGTGGGATGGCTTAAGGCAAAGCTGCCGCTATCCTCTTGGAGAGAGGGGATACTCACAAACTCTGCACGTTCCAGGAGCCTCACATTTGGGCACCAGCTGTGGGGTCTCTTCCTCCCCTTGTGGGTCGTTGGCCACCGGTCCACGAGGACAAAGGGAGCAGAAGTGACAAACGGGGTCAGGACGGCCAGTGAGCACTGACGGAAGAAAGCCCTTCCGGGGAGGCAGATTCAGTGATACAGCTCCAGACTCAGTGAAACATCTCCGTTTATTCAGTGGGGTCAGGGAAAATATAGTGTGGAAGTAGCAGCCAAATCTTCAGCTGATAGGTGCTCATAGTATTCTCTATTTACATGTAGTAGAGGGATCCTATCATCCGACTATGGGGCAATGCCTAATTATCATATAGAAAAAACCTGGGGGCAGTTTTTACTCCAGGTAACTATGCCAAAGGTCATGTTCCAAATAAGGTCAGGCATCCGTGCTTGGTGGCACTTTCTAGATAAGTCAGGCAGAGAGCAGGAGGCCCCCACTGAGAAAGGGTGTCCTTCCATATAGTGCTGAGCCCCTTAGAGCTATCCGGACATGGAGGACTACAACCCTAGCAGCAGGGTCCCCCAATACCAATCTAGTCTACATATCAAGACTCTAGCCACAGTTATACAGTGAGACCCTGTCTCAAACAATTAACAAAAGAAAAAGAGTTGTCTATGGCTATTCCATCCTTAACTTACCCAGTCTCATCTAAAAAGACAGAATCTCAGGTCGAGGACACAGCTCAGTCATAGACTGAATGTCTACCATACTTGAGACCCCAAGTTAAATCCCATGTACCACCAAAACAAAACAAGACAAAATACTACAACAATCCCTCACTCCCATTAACTCCAATCTCCACTAGTTTTTTTGCTTTTTCTTTTTTTTAAAAAATATTTTATTATTTTTATTTTATGTGTATGCATGTATTGTCTGCATGTAGGTAAGTGCACTCGTGTTGTGCAATGCCTGCAGAGGACCGAAGAGGCTGTTGGATTCCCAGGAACTGGAGTTACAGATAGTTAGCTGCCATGTGGGTGCTGGAATTCGAACCTAGGTCTTCTGCAAGAACCAGTGTTCTTAACCACTGAGCCACTTCTCCAGCCCCTGGTTTTTCTTTTTAAAAACATATTTTATTTTTATTTTATGTGTATGAGTGTACTGCCTGCATGTATGTGAGTGCACCCATGTCGTGCAATGCCCATGGAGGTCAGAAGAGGGCACTGGATCCCCTGGAACTGGAATTATGGATGGTTGTTAGCTGCTATGTGGGTACTGGGAACTCAACCCTGGGTCCTCTGCAAAAGCAGCCAGAGCTCTTAACTGCTAGGCTATCTCTCCAGCCCCTTACTTTATTTTTCTAAGACAGGGTCTCACTAAATAGCAGTCCTAGAACTCACCAAGATCTGTCTACCTCTGTCTCTTTGTGCTGGGATTAAAGGCAAACACCTGTACTCCTGTTTTTTGTTGTTGCTGTTTGCTTTGCTTTTGGAAACAAGGTATCAAGTAGACCAGTCAAAGCCTTGAACTTGCTATGTAGCTGCAGATGACTGTGAACTCCTGATCTATCTGCTCTTATGCAAAGCTGTGGTCAGCAAGGAACCTAGCACTTATTTGGAGTTGGAGAACTGATGTTTATTAATTGCCAGTGGACTCAGATGAGCTAGTGCTCTGAAATTCTGCATCCCCAATTATAGCTATCTACAGGTTTTACAGTCCCCCAACCTAATTTCTTAACTGTTATGACATTAAGTTTAAATTGTAGTCTATGTGATTTTGAGCACAGATGTTTATGTGCCCTAGGACCACAGTGGGGAAATTCTGTTGTGAAGCAGTCAAGTGAGTTTGTAAAAGCAGATATTGAGGGCAGGGGTTAAGATAGTCTTAACAACAGAATTTATTGCAGGTGACTTAGCAGACAGGATGATAATGGTAATCAGATGTTTCACAAGATAACTGTGGTATTCATTTCTCAAGATGGCTTTGGGGTCATTTGTGTTCTCCATTTGAGTTTTAATTCATCTTTTAGTACAACTCCTGACAAATATCCATTATAAAAATTACTAGAAGGTTAATAATTGTGTCCTAAGGTATAAAATCAGGCATAGAACAGTATCAGACACACTCAAAAGTAACATTAAATGCATGGATACATCCTTTTCTTCTTCAAGTCCACCTCCCTCTTTCACAGATTACAGGAATGTGTCATAGTACCCAGGTTTTTTTTTTTTTTTTGGTTTTTTTTTTTTTTTTGACACAAGGTCTTTTTATTCAGCCATGGCTGGCCTGGAACTCATAATTAGTCACTGTACCTGGCCACTTTTAATGAAGCAAGCTATCAGTACTTTCTCCAAGTAAAAAGTTAAAATATTGGGGCTGGAGAGATGGCTCAGCATTTAAGAGCACTAGCTGCTCTTGCAGAGGACCCAGGTTCGATTCCCAGCACCCACATGGAGGCTATGAACCGTCTTTAACTCCAGTTCCAGGGGAATCCCTCTTCTGACCTCCATGGCATTGCATGACACAGGTGCACTCACATACATGCAGGCAACACACTCTTTCTGTCCTTCACTGGCACTGCTTGACATAGGTGCACTGACACATATTTAAGCAATACACTCATACACATAAAATGAAAATAAATTAAAAAAGAAAAAAACATTTTAGTAGGGTGGCTTTTGGACAGTACTCCTAAACACAAGCCTCTTCCCCATTCCTCAGACTGCCACCGGTATCAGGCTTGTATTTGCTCTTTCAGGATCTTTTTTTCTTCCTATTTTCACTGGGTTTGTGTGTGCATGTGCATTTGTTTTGTTTTTAAACTTTTTATTTTATGTGTGAGGGTTATGCCTATATGCAAGTTCACCTGTGTAGTGCAATGTTCATAGAAGCCAGAAGAGGGTGTTGGATCCCCTGGAACTGGAGTTTACAGATGGCTGTTACCTGTTATGCGATGCTGGGGAGAGAACCTGGGTACTCTGCAAGAGCAGCCAGTAGGCTTAACCACAGAGTGATCTCTCCAGTCCCTTTGTTTTGTTTTTTGACAGGGTCACATTTTGTAGCCTTCACTGGCCTGGAACTCATTATGTAGAACAGGCTGGTATCAATCTCACAGATATCTGCCTGTGTTGGCCTCTCATACTTGGGATTAAAGGCCTGTGCCACCATATCAGGCAACATTGTATTAAAGAAAAAAAAAATCTTTGAGTCTTCCGTCTATTTCTATAAAACAAGAATACAAAGAAGACACAGAACTGACCGGACACAACCTTAGATCACTGGCCAAGAATAAGAGATAAGATTTATCTACACATGAATAGCTACCATAATAAATTCTGGCTAGAGGCACAGCCTGAGTACACTTAGATCAATTAAGATGAAAATCAAAAGCTTTCCTAGAACTGGGCAGGACTGTGAGATTTCAATTGTTTTAGTCAAATCGTTTAACAACGCAAGTAGTAGTAAGCTAGCAACTAGCAAGTTAGGAACTAGCACAGTACCCCTCACCACCTTTAGTTTAGGCTAAATTATCTCTTTGCACGTACTTAAACCGGTTGCACCCCATGGGTACAAACAGGATATGAAAATATTTCTGACGTTTGTTGAGGGCTTACTGTGTGCCAAGCATGTACATAATCTCTTTTCATAATCCAGGCAAATTCAAATTGAGGTAATGTCTGCTGGACTCAAAAGTGTGGAAATCTTTTTCCTGATATACTACACTCACGTTAGATTAGATTAAATACCTTACCTTTGGTGTAAGGCATTGCAGGGTTTTATGCTTGCTAAGCATGCATTTAACTATTGAGCTACATTTCCAGCTCTGGGACACCACCTGTGAGTATCAAAAATCCAATAAATGAAATACTTAAAATTTTAGGTCATTATACTAACCGGACATGGTGGTTCTCACTTGTAATCCCAGCACTAGGGAAACTGCGGTAGGAGGATTGCCGGGAGTATGTTGCCACTCTGGTCTACATGGTGAGTTTCAAGCTAGCCTGAGACGCTCAACATTCTGCTTTTTAAAATTTTTATCTTATTTTATTTTTTGGTCTTTTTGAGACAGGGTCTCCCTGTAGCCCCAGCTGTCCTGGAACTCACTATGTTGACCAGGCTGGCCTTGAACTCAGAGATCCGCCTGCCTCTGCCATCCTGCTTTTTTAAAAGGCCTGGTTCTAATTATAAATCATTATCATTTGTGCTTAATTCCTGATGTTAACAAAGGGTGCGCTCTTTGAGGTAGTTCATTTAACTCTTCAAGACTCAAAACAATTCGAGACTCTTACGCCAGAAAGTTACTCGCGCTTTCCCTTTCGTCAAAATCCGGTCAATCTTAGTCTCTCCGGGTAGGGCTTGGTTTTACAAACGGCTGATATCCCGTAGGCATTCAATAAAGGCTAGTCGTTTCCCACCAGCAGGGAACTCGGGAACGCAGAACTCGCTCCGCACGTAAGTACACTGAGGTCTCGAAGCCCTTCAGTGGGAGGACGTTCTCCAGATCCCGGGCCCGCCAAGCGGTTGACGCTTTCCCGCGCAGAGGGCAGGGCGGAGCGCCAATCCCGCAACATGAGAGCCGGACCCACTCGGCGCCAGGACTACACTCCCAGCAGGAACCACGCTAGTTCGCTTGGCAGGTGGCACTCACTCATTTCAGCCCGGAAGCGAGCCCTACTGTGGTCCTCGGAGCCAGAGTCTGGCGCTGCTTTCTTTGAGCCCACGGTAGGGGGAAAGGCGGGCACCAGACAGAGCCTCTGCCGCTCAGCCGGCTGGGAGTTGTAGTCCACTCCTGCACCGTCTAGAGGCCAGGTTGGATTTGAGTGGTTGGACCGCATTACGTGATAACAGAAAGGCGGCCGCTTGCGAGTAGCTTGCAGTGTCTCTGAGGTAATCATAGCGCGACAGCACGCGCTAGTAGTGGACAATCTGTAAGCAGTGGAAAATAACACCCTGAAACTCAAAGCACTAGCAATGCCAGCGTCCCCGCCGCTTCTATATTTTGGGCCTCGCCCAGTTGGCCAGAGCAGGCGTTGCGATGGACTGACTGGCGGGGATTCCCGCCAGCGAGCTGGAGTCCTGGACACGCCCTCTCACATGACGTAGGCATCACGTGACAGGGCCGCCCCTGCCGCCGCCGCCGCTTTGTAAGAGGCACATTGGCAGGTAACGAGCGGCGGCGGCGGCGGTGGCGGCGGCAGCAGCAGGAGCAGCAGCAACAGCGTCTCCCGAGTCCCGCGAGAGCAGCAGCGGTAATTGCCACCCTGTCCCCTTCGGTCGCTCTTCCGAGGCCCTGAGTGCTGCAGTGTGCGTTTTCTAGACCTCGGCTCAGGTCTTCTGAACTCCCAACCCCCCTTCGGGATGCCTCAGTGCCAGCATGGGTGGACCGGGCTGGGCTTCAGTCTCTGGCTTCCCGTTTCGGCAGTGTGTCCAGGCCTGGGAAACCCTCTTTCTTCCCTCGCTCCGTCTGCCCCGTGCTTCCTGCACCGCCCCCCCATCCCAGTCGGCAGGCCCCACCCAGCCCCAGGGGGCGCCTTCCCTCCCCCCTTCGGATTTCAGTGCTGGAGGGTGTGGTTTTCTCTCCCACCTCGGTCCCTGCTTGTGAGCTGGAGCTCCCCCGCCACGCCGTCGGACGCTCTGATGCTGACCACCTTTCTGCTTTGAAGCCTGGCGCTACTCCTGGGACTGGCAGTAGAGCCCAACTTCTGGACTCTTTCCCTGCTCGACCTGAAGGCAGAGTTTAATTTCACTTTTTATTCTGGATGTCTTTTGGCGTTAGTTGGAACTCAAGTTTTCCTCTTCATTCTTGGTTCTTCACAGTTCTTTCTTTAATGTAGATTGAGTGCTTCATAAACTGTAAAGCGCGCTGTTACATATTCACATGGTATTCTTTAGTCTGGTGCGTCCCAGTTTCTTGTCACTGACTCACTTTGCCACTTGGCTTTTCCACCTTTCCTCCTGAGTTTTCAGTTTAATTAGTTGCCCAGGCATGTCAACTGTCATCGCGCTAGTCTCTGCCTTGTTCTCTCTTGGGGTTGGTTTTAGCATCGATCCTGTTATTTCCTGATTGACGTAGCCTTGTAGTTTACTACCATCTCTACACCTTTCAACTTTATGCCCAAGATATATTGTCAATATTTTAATTTTCTCTAGGAATTGTGTTTAGTAACAATTGAGAGCTTTTCAAGGTCTCTCCGTAAGATACTCAGTGGAGATTATCATTTGTTTGAGTAGCATATAATCCTTTGCATTTTTAGGAAATTATTTTTATTTTGTGTGTATGAATGTATTGCCTGTATGTATGTTTATGCACCGGTGTCAGGCAGTGCCTGTGGAAGTCAGAAGAGGATGTTGGATTCCCTTGGAACCAGAGCTAGGAACTGTTGTTAGCCACCATGTGGTTGCTGGGGACTGAACCAGCTAGTGCTCTTCACCCTGAGCCATCTCTCCAGGTTCCCCCCCCCCCATTTTTTTTTTTTTTTTAAATCTAAGACTAAGCTATACTATGTAGCTCTGGATGGTTTTGAGTTTTGGTATTTTTTTTCCTTTTTTAATTTCAAGACAGGTTCTCTCCTGGATCTCATAGAGATCTGTCTGCCTCTGCTTCCTGAGTGCTGGAATTAAAAGGCCACCACACCCTGATCTTAGGCTGGCTTTGATCTCAAGATCTTTCCTCTGGACTTTCCTATTCTGGGATCACAGGCTGCGTGGATTACAGGCATTTATTATCATGTCTGGCTGTAATGAACCTTTTTTTTTTTTTTCTTGAAAATAGGGTCTCAATATGTGGCTGAGGATGTCCTGGATCTTGCTATGTAGAAGAGGCTGGCTCTGAACTACAGAGACCTCCCTACCTCTTGCCTCTTGAGTGTTGGGATTTAAAGGCTTGCACCACCACACTCAGTCTCTATTATCTTTTTTAGTGAATAATGTTTATTTCTCTTCCACTATGATAAAGCTTTTTTTCCCCCCCATCAGTGGACATGCCGCTACTGTGTTCCTCATTTCCCTCTGAATTGCCTTTTCTTTTTAGTGTTAGTTTTTCAAATAAAAGTGGAAGGAAAGTGAACATCATAGTTAACTTCTCTGGTAGGTTAGGTATCAGGTTGGTTCTTTGGTATGGTACCTAGGTATTTTAGGAAAGAGAAAAATTCCACTGTCTGGAGAGGATTTGGTGTATCTTGCTTGCAAGGCCATTTTCCCTTTGCTATGAAGATTTGTCTTACTCGACAAAGGTGTTTCCCTTACCACTCTTCTTGCTGTCTGTGCTTTGCCTGCTTTTCCTACTTAGGGGTAATTCTTGTGTTGTTCCCCTGTGTCTGCCCCAGTGTGTCCCCCCCCCCCCCCCTCCCTGCCCTCCTGACCTGTTTGTTTCCCACACTTCTGATTTTTTCATTTGCTTCCTTGCTGCCTCTGACCTTCAAAAATTAAACATTTCAGAGGAAGGGAGATTGTTACTTTGAAATAGATGGGTGGAAGTAGTGGCTCTGGAGAGAATGGGGCCATGGGAAAGGGTTGTGGTAATTGCTTCTCCTGCCTGTTTCCTGCTGCTCTGGTTTCCTTTGGTCTCCCTCTTTAAATGTGGGCTTGGTCAGCAGTAGTCACATGAAGTTTCCTTTAGAACTCTGCTTCTCTTTCTTTGTAACTGGTACACTGCTCACTAGGAGGCTCTTAGTATAGCCTCAGAGACTTTCTTGTTTAGGAAGAAATGGTGGAAGAACATTGTTAAAAGAATGAGTTTAAGTTAATAAACTTTGTTTTTGAGATAAAATTTTACTATTTAGTCAAGCTGGCCTCAAACTCATAATCTGCCTACTCAGTCTCCATAGTGCTAGGTGGGATTCCAGGCATGTGGCATCACTTTTTCCTGAAATTAGGTTTTGTTCTTTACCCCCTCAAGGATGTACAATGCATTTCAAAAGTATAATCCTGTCTTGCAGGATGTAGAAGATTGAAGTGATTTTACTTTTAAATGTTAGCCTTGTATTTTTGTTTTGTTTTGTTCTTGTGAGACAGGATCTCACTATGTAGCTTTGGCTGACCTAGCACTCACTAGGTAGACCAGCCTGGCTTTGAACTCATACTTGCCTGGCCCTAGTGCTGGGATTAAAAGGCTCACAGCCTTGACATGTTTGTTTGGGACACAATCTTACTTTGTAAAGCCAGACTGATCTCAGACTTGTTGTGTAGTCCAGGTTGGCCTCAAACTTGTGATCCCCTTACCCCAGACTCCCAAGTGCTGGGATTAAAGGTTGATGCCACCATGCCATCTCTGCTGATAGATTTTAGCAGCTGTTGCTGTTTGTGAAATGGAAAGTGGTGATGAAAACAAAGGGAAGATCTGTGTAGAGAACTACAACCATGAAGCCTATGGTAGATTTTTTAAACAGTTTCAATCCAGCTATGGCATATTGGCGTATCCATCTTTTTCTTTTCAAAGTCAAAGAACTAAATATATCAAGTTCCACAATCAGATTGTAAACTGCTTATGGCTTATACTTTTTTCTTATAAAACATTGTTTTTTTTGACAGTGTTCCTTCCAAAGTTGGTAGATACCCTGTTCTTTTTTGTTTTTGGTGCTGGTGATTGAACCCAGGGCTAAAAGTATACTCTGCAACTGAGCTATACCTCCAATTTCCTATAGTTTTTAAAGAAAGGAAATGTAATTTTAGTGGTGAGATTTTTGTTTATTGGTTTTTATAGACTGTGCTCTTAGCCCAGGTTGGCCTTGAACTTGGTGGGTGGGCAAGGATAGCCTTGAATTCCTGATTCTTTTACTTCTACCTCTTACTGGTGTATTCCATCACACCTGGCTGATATTCCTTGGCATAGGCACAGAAGACCAGGTTTTGTGAATGAATGTTTGTTTGAGGGGCATGTCGACTGGGATGAGCTTCTGTTTTCCCACTGAGTTTCATGAGGTAAATTTAATTTGGGACCCAGTTAAGTTTTTGGAATTGGGGCTTGAAACAGGGCTTACACTGAGGAGTAAGTGTTTCATTTTAAATTAGACAATATACTCCTTTTGAAAGTTGTTAGGAATGTGGGGGTGAGGGTATAGTTCAGCGATGGAGAACGCTTGTTCAACAAGCAGCCCTCAGTCCTCAGCACCAAGAAAAGTAGCTTGTTTTTTCTTCATTCAGACCTCTAAAAATTACTAGAATGAATATATTTTATATATAGATACACATATACACATATGTATATATAATTTATAATACTTAAAAAATGTTAATTGAATATTTTTATTTTTATTTTTTTTGTCTTTTTGATGCAGGGTCTCCCTGTAGCCCCAACTCCTGGAACTCACTTTGTAGACCACGCTGGCCTTGAACTCACAGAAATTTGCCTGCCTCTGCCTCCCAAGTGCTGGGACTACAGGCGTGTGCCACCATGCCTGGCTCAATTGAATATTTTTAAGAGTATTTGTAGAGGAGAGAATTTCTTTTTTTTTTTTTTTTTTGACTGGATTTTGGTATGTAGTCCTGGTTGGCATGGAACCTCTTTTTTTTTTTTTTTGGTCTTTTTGAGACATGGTTTCCTTGTAGCCCCAGCTGTCCTAGAACTCACTGTGTAGACCAGGATGACCTTGAACTCAGAGATCCACCTGCCTCTGGAGTGCTGGGATTAAAGACATGCACCACCACGCCTGCCTTGAAACCTCCTATATAGCTAAGGCTGGTCCCCCAGGCTCCTGGTGATCCTCCTGTCTCAGCCTCCTTAATGCTGGAATTAAAGGTGTGTGCCACCACACCTGGCTTAAATTCGATTTTTTTTTTTTCTTTGTCTCTCTATCCCCAGCTGATCTTGACCTTGCTGTGTATACCAGGCTGGCCTTGGTCTCACAGAGATCCAACTGCTTCTGCCTCTCCAGTGCTGGAACTAAAGGCATGCACTACCCAGCTTTAAATCTGTATTTTAAAAAGCCCCCTAGCTGGATGTGGTGTATACCTGTCATTCCAACATTCCCCTATAATTCCAGCAGGAGGGTCTTCCTAAATTTTATGCCACCTCATCTACATATTGACCATATCTCAAAAAAGGAAACCAAAAATCAAAGTCCACTTATTTATTCTCTTATTTAATGATGTGACCGTGCAAAAAAACTTTTTCCTTTTTTTGGATCTTTTTTGAAACAGGTTTCTCTATAGCCCCAGTTGGCCTGGAACTCACTATATAGACCAGGATGGCCTTGAACTCACAGAGATCCACCTGCCTCTGCCTCCCAAGTACTGGCACTACAGGGGTGTG